TGCTTTTGTTTTGATTAATTTTTACAACGCCACCGGGAAACTCGGGGGGTTGTTATCTATATTTAATCAAGGATTTAGCCCGAGTTTTTTCTTGTACTGGACACGTTGTGCATTTTATGATTAAAATTTAAAAAAAAAAACGTACCCATCACCTTAAAAAGGCAAGTTAAACAGCAAAGACCTTCGAAAAGATCTGATTAATTTGTTAACGATACAGCTGGTGCGTCGTCGGCGTCAAACGACACCAGTAGATTATAATATACATACATAACATAATTTATATTTTTGGTTCAAAACACGTGTGTGTCTTTGATATTACTGTTTGAAAAAAAAAAAAAAAAAGACGACAGCACAGCTATCCCAGCTATACAACACTTGTAAAAAGAGCGACAAGCACAGCGCATCGATCCACAATGAACGATCGAGTTGGCAAAGCGAGCAGTTTTATCGCACGTTAAGACACACAGGGTACACGTTACAATAATAATTGTACACAGGTATTGGAGGGAGCTCGTTCGTTTGGGGTCACACGGCACTGGGAAGAGCTCCACAAAGAGCGAGAGCCGCGCGCTCGCGATTAAGATACCATCCCGTGTGCTCAATCTTTCCGCGAATCTTGTCGTGCTGTCAAGTCAAGTATGTTATACGTACACCGGGTTCGCGCTCTCCTCTACTAATCGCCGCTGTTTTATATGTGTATTCTTATATTATACTTGTACTACAATACACTTATCCACATTACGTGTACATACTTGCACGTAAAGATTTTTGATTCTCGATCCGTGACGCTTATACTCGAGTGCTGTCAGCGGCGGTGGCGGTGGGTACACACATAACACTTGGAGTCGTTGGACATTGTCTAAGTCGGCCTTGCCTTATGTATACCTTTAAACACGCACTTACACACGCATTAGACTGAAAGAGTACCTCTCCACGCGCGAAAGGAGCAAATAAAGATAGTACATAAAAAAAAAAAAAAAAAAAACAAGTGTATCCTCCACCAGCACCGAGATGGATCGAAAGAAAAAAAAAAGACTCGCTCACACACAAAGTGTATAATGTACAGAAGTACACTTTACACCAACACACTGCGAGACAAAAAGGATCGGGCGAGCGAGGGGATACACCATGCATATATATATATATATACATTATCTTATAAACGTTCGCCCGATTTACGGTTAATTTACCGTTAACACACACTCACTCTTGCTCGGACTGTTAAACTCCAAGGTGTAGGTATACTTACACGGACAAACTTGGAGGAGAAAATCATGACTCTCCCCTGTACTTGTCACGAGAGAGTGTGTGAGTGTGAGTATTAGCATCGGAGCAGGTGTATACAATATATCCTTACCGTATACCGTGCTATCAAGGTTATTAGCACCTGATGCGTGCCTCGTGTTTACTCACTAGGTATATATTATACACACTTCTAAACTCCTCGACCTTCATATTAAGTATAATATAAGCTCTCTGATGGACCGTGCCTCGTGCGTACATTATACAGAGGTGTATATAATCATACACGTGTCGTGGAATCTGTACACATATTATGTATTCAAATATTATTATTTTCGGAGCCAGGGTGATTAATTGTATGCGCGAGGTACACACCATCATCGTCGATGATCAAACCTCTACTCGCCTCTACATGTACACTTTGTATATATTTCTTCTTCTTCTTCTTTTTTTTTTTTCTTTCTCCTCATTCAAATTATAAATACAGATTACTTTGAACGGCAATTGCCGCGCCTGCTGCTGTACCCGCAATTGGCTCTAATTTTTCATTTTCGTACGAGCAGCAGTAATATATTATAATATTTGATTTTAATGGGGAAATGTATATGTATATAAACTCTTGACCTGACAAATCGGCAATTTATTCTTCTTCTGGTACCGGTAAACAACTGTTGTGCAAAGCAATGGTTTTTTATTTATTTATTTTTTTCTTTTTTATTACCTTCAATTTCAAACAGCATAGTACGAGAGCGCAAAAGGTGAACCAGGCAACAGAGAGAGGGGGTATACGGTCTCTCTCTCTCTCTCTCTCTGTGCACCTGCGAGAGGGTTTACGTCCATTTTCGCATTCGCGGTTTCGTACCATGTATATACCTGTGTAATGTAGGTGTGTGTAACTATATATGCCCGCACGTAGCCGGAAAGAAAAGTAGCGGGTCGTTCTGGTTCGTGTTGCCCCTTCCCCTGCCCTTCTTCTTCTTATTTCTCTCCTCCCATCCTGCAGGGGCCGCGGGCATCCGCTCTCGCGATCAAAGTGCGTGCGTGTGTAAGGTATCACATGCGTATATTATACCCCGCCGCCGCGGCTTGCTTGCAGTTGTTTAAAAAACACACACTTGCGCTGCTGCACTCTCCCATCGAACACTTCTTTTTTTTTTTTTTTTTTTATTACATTTTAGCGAGATTAAATTAATGGAATACGTGCCCACGTGGCACAAAATGTGTGTTGTACCAGTTGGTGCGTCATCCCTCGTGCAGAGCTGCTATGGATTATACGCTCAACCAGCCGCGGTGTGCTTAAATATACTGCGGCTGTGCGCAAAAATGCCTCTCGTTAATTGCACGCAACGACGCTGATGTATGCACTGTCGATACAATACTTGCCGTATAAAGAGAGAAAACAATTTTTTTTTTTTTCATTCAAGATTACAATTCTTGGGATTATTGCAAACTAAACTTGGCTAGTAAAAAAAATGTTATATTTGTTTTCGACACTACTGCGTCTACGAGCCAAGATTAAAGAAAAAGTGTCTGTAAAAGAAAGTGTACGTCAGTTACATATTTTACAAGCGCGTGTAAAAAAAAAATATAAATACATAAAAGATTTTGAGCTGTATGGTGAGCCATGAGACCCTATATACATGCGCGCATTCATTTAATAGGTGGTGGCTGCTGACGTACGCGCGACAGAGCCTGTAATATGTAACACGAATGCTATAGAGCGCACAAAGGTTTCTCTTTCACGATCGCGTCCGTCCGGTTCTTTCTTTTCTTTTTTTTTCATCCTCCATCGTACACATGTACAGGTATATACATATACTTAGCATGTGCTTTCTCAGCGGTAACGTCATCCTCCTCCTTTTTAAACTCATGCTTCATCCTTCGATCGTTGTAATGGACATTATTTTTTAATTTTTCTGTCCCCTGACATTATCTGAAAAAACCTCGAAAAGCTTGTTGCAATGATGAGTAAATCCAATAGGGTGTCCAGTCTGCCACCCCTCAAACACAATAGTTCAAAGAAGGACACGTTGTTTTTATTGCGCGACATCGAACTTTGTCACGGGAGCGTAGGTAACCACAATGGTACACGTTACACACGTATATATAGGTATAGGTATACATACCTCGACCTTACGTTCATTATTCCTTCCATTAATGCCACACACGAGAGCTTGTCTTACGAGACTCGGGCGTCAGTGTGTTGGCGCGTGGATAAATAGTACTCTGGAGTCGTGCATGCAAAGTATAAATATATATAATTGACTCCGCGAATTCGTATGGTGTACAAAATGCGTTTGTGTCTCCGTGTGGGTGTGTGTTTAAACATATATACATTACGTGCAAAGGTGTTCCTGTACGCGAGACACGCGTAATCGCTGAAAAGGTATAAAGAAAGGAGTGCACGTCAGCGCTCAATGTGACCGTGTAACTATGTGTCATGCCATATGTAAAATACACGCACACGTGCAATGTGTCACTGGAAGACTATTGTAGTAGGTTTCCTTTTTTTAGTAAGTATACAGTATTGTGGTGGACAAGCCCCGAAACTCATCGTTTGGTTACAAACAGGATAATGATGATTCATATATGTATACCCGTTTTGGACCAAATATAGGTGAAGAATGTTGTATAGCCAAAGTATAGGAGGTGAGGTAGCAAAAAAATGAGATTTGAGGCTTTTTTTTATCTATACTTGCTCACGTGGTACATATGATTTTTTTTTTTTTTATGATAATAGATAATAGTTTTTTGCTCCACTGGAGCTAAAGCAAAAGCTATACTTTTGGTCGAAGTCAGCAAAAAGAAAAAAGAAAAAAAATGTATCATATGGTGCAGTAGGAGCAGATGCAGGAAGTGTATGTATATATAAATGTAAAGTTACAGAAACTGCTCAAAATATTTTTGTTATTGTTCATTTCGCTTTTTTCACCCACAATCGGGCTTTAGCTCAAATTGTATACATGTAAGTAGGTACAGGTATACGAGTATATAATAGGTAATTAGCACCTTATATCCGTGAAGCTCTTAACTCGATGCAATGAATTATTAGTACCTGCACATATTTTATACATATATATAAGACGCTCTGAACGCGCAGCTATACTTATGTAAACAATGTGTCCGGTGGCTGCAACTCTGTAATTTTAGCCGCACGATCTATGTCCTGGATTTTTTATTTTTTTTTTTTCTCACACTCTCATGCTTATTACATGCTTATTAGTTATTAAAATCTACAACAAACTCGTTGGCTCGATGATTTTCTCTCATTTTATTTTACTTTTTTATTTATTCATTTTGTTTTTGCTTCCCCACGGATGAAACTTTGTTACGGTAAAAAAAATCATCGTCAAAATCTTACGATTTCCTCGACAGATTTTTTTCTTCTTTGTTATTATTTGGTCTTCCTTTAGCGTGACTCAAAAATAATAATATTCATTTCGTGCGATACAAAGGTACACCAATTACGAAAACTATTATTTCACAAGGTTGTTAGCTTTTGAAGTTGTGTAATTTATCATTTAGTCCAGTGATGCAACACTACATACATGTGTAATATGTATATGTAATGATCATAATGATAATCCCGATTCGTTGAACTCGACCTTAATAACAAAAGTATATTACCCAAAAAAAAAAAACAAATCAAGGTTAAACAAATGTATAATATAGGTATATATGAATTAGTGTAAAGATAAAATGACAAAGCGATAACGCGCGTTTATTACATTTTTTTGTTTTGTTTTATTAAATTGCAGGCAACTGCGCGATGGTACGCTCGAGGAGAATCAGATACAGGAAGGCTGCAAGCTAACGCTACTGCCGAGCGTGGAAACCGGATTACTGGTAAGTGAACATCATCATCATCACCCAACCCGTTGCAATATATTGTTTTCTCATTGCTGTTGTTTGCCATATGTAACATCTCTTGTGATTATTATTTTCTCGCGATCAGACTTCGCGCAGTAGTATATATATACGTACAGGCCTAGTTTTCCCGTCAATGTCACGGACGAGAGCGCGCCTTCGCTCGAATAATTTATTTTCCAATGGCTATCCGCCCGATCGATTGTTCCCCCGATAGTTTCAAAAAGAGAGAGCGCACCGGGAGAAACTTTCGGTGATGCAACGGCAACAGTCCTATAGTATATAGAAGAGAAAGATCGGGTTAATGGTTATTTGCGTTTTCGATCCAAAAGTATAGAGAGTTACGCAAGTAAGTGTTACGTCCGCACTTTAGATACGACGGATAACTGCAATAGTATAGTATTAAAAAAAATAAATGTATTGTTTTTATTTTTTTATTTTTTATTTTTTGCGGAGCATGGTATATAATATTGTCTCGGCGCTCGTGCAGGCGATGATCCAGAGAGTCGCGTCGAGCAAAACAGGGTAGACCCGGATAAAGCGTGCGCGCAAAGCCCGTTAACTCGGCGTCTACGGCCGCGGATCCGCGCCGCTGCGAGGCAAGGGGCTCAGGTCACTTGGTTTCTCGGTCATCCGTCCTTGCGTTTATCCGTTGCAGCGCTGCAAGTCTCGGCTATGTGTATAGCAGAGAGAGATACCTGATATATATATATATATATATATATATATATGTTATGTTACATGTACATAGGTACACCCCCCCAAAACCCCACCGTCATCGTCAGCTGGTCCGTTGATCATATAATATGTAACCCCGATAAGACACCAACGAGCGCATGGGGCACCTTTTTTTTTATTCCACCAGTCTTATCGACCTCCGCCCCGCGTCCCACGACCACCTCCCTCTCTACTACTACTCCCTTTCTCTTTCTCTCTTTCTCTTGAAGAGCTATTTTTTGGGTCGGCGTACCGTTATCACCTCGGTGTACACCGCTGCTGTTGCTGTTGCCGCCACTGGTGGATATAATAATGGTGTACAACGTACATACTTGCCTGTGGCATTACCGCTCTGCTGCCCGCCCGTGGAATTCATCTCCCCTATACTCGTATACAACACACACCATATCGGGCTCTCGTCACTCATATACTTACGGATCAAATGTCCGGTAAATGGATGGATGGATGGATTGGTGGTTGTCGGATTCACGTATACGTGTATGGATGGCTCTTGTCTTTTTCTCCATTTGGCAGCAGGCATTTTATGTCACTCCACGTGTACATATAATTATATACCTCTCATGGCTTTTTCAATTCTCCCCATTTTGTTGAACGAGCCATTGCGATGACCACTCAATAAAAGTGTCCAGTCACACTCGTCACCATATGCGTACTTTCTTATGTTGTACATACGTGTAATTTGTACATATCTACTATTTATATCATAAATATACCGGTGCTGAAGAATATTTCGTGAAGCACCACTTCGGCACAATAATATGTATTATATATAGAGGTATCGAACAAAAGCTCGCCCATTGCGGGGAGTACAGAATATATAGTAAAATCACCCCACGTAATATCATGATTTCGAAAAATCATCTGCCAATTTATTAGGTATATAGATGTATAATCATTGCATCAATTAAAGGATATTTTTAAAGCAGCGCGTGGACAACAAATTACTCGACTCTCCGATTGAATAAAATTTTTTTTTTTTTTTTTTTTTTTTTTTTTTTTTTTTTGTCACGAATGCCCTCCTCCACCAGCAGCAACTGTCCTACTCCTCGTGGACGCTTCTCGCGTATACGCATCAGCGAAGCGCGCGCGCGGCTGTGGTGCATATGTATTTTTCAGCGGATAGTATGTGGCGCGCGCGTCGCGCAATCTGCATGCAAATAGTATTTCTTCCTCCTTCCCCGGTGTTTTCTCCGCCCCCGCGGGCACAGCCCCTTTCCTCCCCCGGCCCGTCGCTGTGTGCCATAGCAAGGAACACCGCTCGATCGAGGCGCCGCCGGCCGAAAGCCTCCTCTCCCCACGCGATCTCCCGAATTTACCGTCCACATGTACATGTATACCCTACACCGGCTCCGATCCTCCGTGTCGACTATGACTATCCCTGTGCAGCAACCTCCCCGCCGCCGACTCTTTCTCGCTCCTCCGCGGCATGTGTGCCCGGGGTGTATATATATAGGTACGTAGGCATACACACGCCCGCGTGCTCTCTTGCTCCAGCTCGCTTTCTCCATATAAGGGCATCCATGCCTACTTCTCTCTCCGCGCGTGGTGCAATGTACTGGTAAGTGCACAAACTTGGCAGACACGCGCAGTCGGTGCCGCATATCTATACGTATCATATGCACAAAAACAGATGATATGAGTCGAAAAAAAAAAAAAAAATGAAAATAAACACCTCGTACATTGTAAGCCCATGTACATAATATGAAATACTTTTCCAATCACCCGGACCCGGCTGGCTCTCGCTCGCAGTTTCTACTTTTACTTTTACTTTCTTTTTCGCCTGCGTCGGTGCATTGTGTATTATATACTGTCCGGTAAATAATGTATTTTTATATAAATATATATAGGTACCTGTCGGAGGTTGTCTATATCAAGCGATGCTTCCTCGTTCAATTTTTTTTCATTCGTTCGCGCTTATTCCAAGTGCCGTCAGATAAATATATACATATACCCACACACGCCACCAGTTATTATTGTTTGGAAACGAGTCGGTTTTTGATTATGCAGTGACGAATTGTCACAAAGTCGCCAGTGTTGAACAAAAATAACAAAAACAAAAATTAAAAAAAATTAAAAACAAACATATTCAGCAGCTTGATTGATGAGCGTATTGTATACCCGACGTGAAAAAAGTGTCGCGGCAGACAAAAAACACTCAGTGTGCGTAGTTGTTGACACGCCCCCGGAATTCTCATATCAACTTCAAAGGGGAGGATAAATGGAAAAAAAAAAACAAAACAAAAAAATCCTATCTAAAAAAAATCTCTTGTATATAGACAGTCAATTGAACGTCTCGCGTGTTTTTGCGCGAGTCTGTCGTGCGACCTCGAGCGGGGGAGGAGGAGGAGGGCATTGAAAATTTCGGCGGAGAGGAAAACAAGGCAAAATCGGTGCCATCGTCGCAAAGACCTCGCTGATCATCGTTGAGTTGTTGTATTATTATTATTATTACTCTCTCTCTCTCTCTCTCTCTCTCTCTCTCTCTCTCGAAGGCAATATAACCATATACACTTACGTTTTATCTTGTCTCCTTTGCTTTTCTCGTTCGTACGTATATGCATGTATATCACCAATAAGCTCGCGTCATCGAAAGTTCAGTCAGAGTGTTCCCCTCCATTGTTATCGAGCCGCTCGATGATAACAACCATACATCGGTCGTACAGTGTATCCATCACCTACGCGCACAAAAATGTATTAAATACGCTTGGCAAAAAGAGTCTTTGCGTCAGAATTTGCGCATCGCGCAGCTCAACGTTCTCCTCCTCGTTTGCACCCCCGCATTTTCCCCTCCGGTGATCTCCTTCTTTTCTTCTGTGCACCGCCTCCACCATTTCTCTCTCTCTCTCTCCCGATATCTCAAAATACGAGCTCTACTCCACAAGATGGTACGTGTATGTGTGTGCTTACTCTGCTCCAAATTGACGTCTTTCTGCTCGCCTCCGCGCTTCTATATATTTTTCTTCTTCTTTTTTTTTTTTTTCTTTCATTCGTCACACGCGCCAAAGTTACTCCGTATCACGGCCCACTCTCTGTGTCCTAATTATTCTTAGGTTTCGGGGCTCACGCGGCGCGCAATGTCAAAGAACCAAAGATAAAGATGAAAAAGAAAAAGAAGGAAATTCCCCATTTCACACTTTCAACCTCATTCACTCGAGTGTATGCATAACGCGACAAAGGTATTATTATTTTGACAATAACTCGGGCTGATATTTCGTCGTGCACATGCACATACATATTATAATGTACCAGAGGTTTGTACAGGCGGTCCCGCCTGTTTGGAATGAAAATCCACGTATAATATGTGGTATATATATACATGTAACACGCTTCTATTATGTATATATGTTGTACCGTTGTACGGCGTTATCAATAGAAACGTATATATGCTTATGCCACGCTGCACGCGCAGTGGCTCTCTCTCTCTAACGAAGATCGAGTCGGCTTTATACGGTGGCTCTTGTAGACCCGGGCACCGCCTTTACGCGAGAATATATATAAATCGGTCTCTCCCTCCGATGCGTATACGTGCAAGAAAATTTCGCACATTTCGACGAGCTCACGACTAAAATGCAGCTGCTACTTTTCATTATTTTTTCCTCTTCATCCCGTTTTGTTGTTGTCCCATTTAATATATATAATACAGGTGTACGCTGTGTCTTGTATCCGCTATACAACGATACGGAGATCGATCCGAATTCCGATCGATATGAAAACAAATAAATTTTCCGCGACACAAATCTCCTCTCGTTGTGGGCAATCGAATGATGTGGGGCATCGCGCGTTAAACACTTTCGGTGTACAAGCTCGAACCGAAGATTTAGTGCCGATGATAAATATAGAAGATCGCGCGCGACGGTGGTGACAGTGATGAGCTAACTGTCCGAAATCAACAACAACAGCAACAACAAGAGAGAAAAACAACAACACAGCGGAAGCGGCCAGCAAGAAGACCGAAAAAAGAGCGCGGAGGCATCATCGTCATCTTTATCGTCCACCCTCGCACATCGGAAAGAGAGAGAGAGAGAGGGACGCTCGGTCGGCCTTCCCAGAACGAATGACGCGCGGCTGACATTTGGTCCGACTCTCGTGGGCGCGTTCCCTCGTTGTATATATGTAACGCGCACACACACGCGCTCGCAGCATCATCCACGGAGAGCCATTATCTCCCGGCTTCCTCCTCCGATGCCGGCTGGCGTCGGCTGATCCGCCCTCGCACGCAATAATATCACAACGGCAGCGGC